TATATAAGCTATTAAATAAAAGTGAAAGGAGTGGGCACACTTCACTCGTAATCTTAGGGAAAAGCATTTAGTACTTTTCTGTTATGATGTGAACTACAGGTTGTCTGAGATACTTAACAGATTTAGAAAGTATCCTTCTATTGCTTGTGTTTTGATATTTTTAAAAATCAGAAATTGATATATTAAATGACTATTGTGTTTCTACTGTGATATATATATATATATGTATATATATATACATACACACACGTATAGTTACAGATGAAGCATTATGCTGATTGACTTTTCAATGTGATAGCATTTCCGCATTCCTGGTCATGACGTTTAGTCATGATGTATTATTTTCTCACATACTGTTGACTTTTACATTATGTATGTTAAGATTTTTCCATCTATGTTAAAGAATGTGATTATGTCATGTTTATGATTTTCTTTGGTATGATTTCCTTATCAAGGTAATGGTAGGCTCGATGAAATGAACCACAAAGTATTTTCTCCTCTCTAATCTTCTAGAAATCCTAGTATAGAACTGGTTTTATTGCTTCTTTAACTTCTTAACAGAGTTTATCAGAAAGTTTACCTACTTCTGGATTTTTCTTTGTAGTAAAATTTTTAAATACAAATTTACTATATATATAGATATTAAGGAATTCATATTACATAACATTCTTGCTTGAACTGAAGTAATTTGAAATAATTTGTCCACTTATTCTCATGTAATTTTGATAGCTATGGAATTTATGTGATATTTTTTTCATTCATGCTACTCACCACGTTTGGCTTGTTTTTTCCTTGATTATATTTACTGGCATAAGACTTCTTGTAATGCTGCCAGTATTATAATATACATAGGATCTATACTGGTATTATTTCTATTTTGTTATGGATATCTATATTCTCACTTCTCCTAGATCACATTGCTTCAATAATTTCCAACTGTTATTTACTTTCCCAAAGATTCAGTTTTTAGGTGCTTTTCCATGTTAACTTCTGGTTTCTTATTTATTAAAATACTGTTTGATGCTTTTATTACTTTCTTTTACTTATCGTATGATTAATTTTACCTTTTTGTACATTCTTCAGATAGATGTTATGTTTATTAATTTGCAGTGTTTGAATATTTATCATTAAAGCCTGTCAACTTCTAAGCTTCAAGTTCCATAATTATGAAATAAATTTGTCAGATTACTATGTCCAGGCCAGGTACAGTAGCCTAGTGGCTAAATTTCTCACCTTGCATGTGCTGGGACCCATACGGGCCCCAGTTTGTGTCCCAGCAGTCCTGCTTCCCATCCAGCTCTCTACTTGTGGCTTGGGAAAGCAGGAGAAGATGGCCCAAAGCTCTGGGACTCTGCACTCATGTGGGAGACCCGGAAGAGGCTCCTGGCTTCAGATCAGCTTAGCTTTGGCCATTGTAGACACTTGGGGAATGAATCATTTAATGGAAGCTTTCCCCCTCTGTCTCTCCTTCTCTCTGTGTATCTGAATTTCCAATAAAAATAAATAAATTCTTAAGGAAAGAAAATTAATTTTCTGCTTCTATATGTGCCTTGCGATTTGTACTGGATGTCAAACACTGACAACATTATTTTCTGACTTTAGGTGTTTTTGTATTCTTTTAAAATTTGGTTTATGTTATCTGAAAAGTAGAAAGATCTCCTATTCATGTGATCTCCTATATACCACCTCACCTTCAAGCATGCATAATAGCCATGCCTGGGACAGGCTAATGTCAAGAGCCAGAAATTTGGTCTGATGACAAGGACTCAACTACCCGAGCCTGCTCTTGCTACTTTCCAGCATGGCCATTAGAGGAATCTGGAACTGGAGCTGAATCGAGACAACAATCCAGACCCTCTGGTATTAAGTGCAGGTTCCCCAAGTGGTGTCTAATTGCAATGCTCAGTGTCCACTGCTGGTTTTCTTTTTTTTTTTTTGATTCTTACAAATGCTTTTGAGCATATCAAGGATCTTCTGAGTTAATACTCAAAGTTTTGTTTTGAGGTTAATACTTGGGGTAGGATACTATGCTACCAGGCTTTGTGTTGATAGAAAAATGGGGAAGGATATTGAACTCAAGCTTTCCAAAAAGGGATGCAGGAGCATCTTGATAATTAGACTCACACACATATGTCTCTAAAGCTAATCTTGAATTTTGCATTGGTAAAATTGTATTACTTGGAAATAGCTTAATAATTTTGGACCTTGCTTTTTAAATTATCCCAAGTTGCATCAAAACTGTCTAGATCTAATTTCATTCCTCAACCAAGGCAGATCTTTCTGATTAGCCTACCTGATGATTCGTCAACTATGTGATTTTGTTCTCTGGCTAATGGCAACAGGTATTATTTCTGATTCCCTATAAAGTTAAGTAATTACTCTGTCTAATCTTTTCATTTGGTTATTTCCTTGTCTCCTGGTATTCTCCTCAAACACCACTAGCTAGCTATAGAGAATGCTATGGATTTCAGTTATTCTGTTCCTATACAGCATTGCCCTGAGAATTCTACCTGCCTTAGCTTCCTTGTACTTCTAGGTTCATTTTTTCCACTCAGAGATACTGTCAAGTCTGTTTTGATTCTCTTTCCCCATGCTATGGCCTGCATACTCTTTCCAGGTAGTTATCTGGGGAACGTTGCTATGCTTAGCTCATTTGCTTTGCATCTCTCCAAAGTTTCCTATTCTTTATTGTCTTATATCCAATGTGATGAATCTGTTCATTATTGTGCATGGTGTTTTATTCATTTCAAAGGCTGATTAAATCCAGTCCCTATATTTATATGGAGTTTATTTATTTGTTTGAAAGACAGCATTACAGAGTAGGGCATGGGGCAGGGATGGAGTAGAAACGGGGATAGCCAGGAGGAGAGAGTGAAAGGGAGAAAGAGATCTTGCACTTGTCTGTTCACTTCTCAAATGGCTGCAGCAGGCCAGAATTGGGCTATTGTGAAGCTAGGAGTGCTTCACTTCAGGCCTTTTGCATGGGTGCAGCGTCCCAAATACTTGGGTTATTTTCCACTCCATTCCCAGACACATCAGGCGCAAACTAGATTAGAACCAAAGCAGCTGTGACTCCAACCGGTGCCCAGACGGGATGTGGGTGTGGCAGTCAGCGGCTTTAGTAACTAACCCACAGTATTGCCCCCGATCCCCAGTCACTATTATTTCACCTTGTCTTGAAGAACAATTCTTACAATGAGCAAAAGTCAGAGATAAATTGCATGTGTTGAACATGACTGAGTTATAACACAGAGACTAAAAGCACAGATTTAACAAAGATCAAGGAGTCGTCAATGGCTCTGGTCCTTGAAAGAAGGGTAGAAGGAATCAAGGAGCTGTGCATCCCATTCAGCTTTCAGAGTGTGATTCTTCATGAGGGAGGTTAGAAATGAGCCAGCCAAATGACCGTGATTAGTATTTCAAATTCAGCCACCAAGGTCAGTAACTATCCATGCCCACACTCTTGTTCACAAGGTCATATTGTTCTTGTGGCCTTTTTGGAAACTCTGAGATCCCAATGAGGCAATTCCAAATGTTGCTATATCATTCTCGAATAGACAGTGATAGATAGCTTCAAAAGCTTTCTGGTAAAATTGATTCAGCTACAGGTTTTGTAAAAACAAAATTTATTTTAGCTTCCTAGCATTCTGTAATACATGACCGCAAACTTGATAATTGCCCAAGACAGAAATGTATGATGTTGGGGTGCTCTGGGGCCTCTAATAAGGAGCACTTACTGCTCTCAGTTCCTGATGGCTCCTGTCGTTTCTTGGTTTGTGGCAGCGTCACTCCAGTGGCTACCCCTGTCATCATGTGGTCCCCTTCCCTGGGACCTGGTTGTCAACACACACCCTGGAATCTTCCTGTACTGTGATCTTACACATTCTTCCCGCCTCTCCTCCTACCCTTTCTGTATCTTTAAACTCTCTCAAATGCCATCCTCTAACAAAGTAGCTACAAGAAGAAACTGAATCAATTCAGAATGTAGAAGGCACAATCCAAGTTCAATTATGTAAGCAGTGTAAAACCTTGAATAAGCTTTAAGACATTGTGTCTTATATTCCTCTTCTGTAAAACAAAGATAACAACAGCATAAATATTGCTTAGTCCTAAATAAATGGTTATCCGGAGGGTGTAAGGAGTTAATGTATCCATAAAATAATGTGCTTGGTCAGCATATAGTAACTGCCACATAAATGCTCACTATTATTAATATTGGAGAAAGTGCTCGGGATTCCTTGTTAGCAGGTCACGACAAATATAGGGCCCTCTGTTTTCTCCTTTCTATTCCATTCCCTCGTCCTTTGTTGCATGACGGTTAATGTGTCAAAAACAGTCCACTCATGTATTTCATATGTTGTTTTATTTGTTTCAAACGGTAGGATAAATCTAGCCCTTGTGACTTCGAATTGTCTAGAAGCAGAATTCTCATGATGAAATTTTAACCGAATCGGGACAGTAAGTTAATCTTTTTAGGAAGCCAGATAGTCACCATACACAAACACAGAAAGGGTTAAACAGAACAGGATTCTACATTTCTGATTTTTTTTTTTTGTAAACCTGCCTGGACTTGATTTTTAATTTGCTTTCAGCCAAAGCCCCAATGAATTATGGCAGTGGCATGACCTCTCTTGCAGGATGCATATAGATATCAGAGCTCACAACTCATAAACTCTCTCTTCATGCTGATCTGACATTATGCCACAGGAACAGTGAAAAGTCTTATCCCAAACATCCTCTTCTCAATGGGTACCTTCACGTTATTCATTCATTTATCCATTTACTATGGAATAAAGTTGCACCAAGGAAACTGATAGGAAGTAGATTATTTTGGATTTTTTGTTTTTACATATTGACTGAAATAGTATGAAGGGAAAAGACCAGCTGGTAAAGATCTGCATGCCTAACTGAATCAGAGAAGTGGCAATTTGGTGAGGAAGTCAGGACTTGCAGCATGAAGGGAAGAACAGAGCTGTGTGGCTTTGTTTTGTTTAAGGAACTATTAGTGTTTCTTTTGTGAGTGGCGCATGTAGGGTGGCTCTGTTTGCTCTTTGTGCAGAATCCGCATCAAGAGATTTTGGAAGTATCATTTTTTGACTTCTGGGCAGCTGGTGATCGTTGGCCCTGGTGCCCTAAAAAATAAATAAAAGATACTATTAGTCAATCAGGAAGGAGTTTACAAGCAAGCATTCAGATTTGCAATTTCAATAGAGAGGTACAGGCAGGTTATTTGGCTTGGAAGCCTCTAGTATATGTGCAGAATTTCTAAGTGTCAGAAAGATTACTTGAGAATAGTAGAAAAGGCCAAGGACAGATACTCTCACTGTGTGAATACATTTAAAGATGTTTCAGAGATAGAGATAACATTAAGGGATTGGAAAGTAAGGAGAGTGATGAGAGGAAAAGTGGGTGAATGACATTTTTCTGGGAGTCTAGATGAGTCTGGTCGAGATGTGCATAGAGAGCTAATTATTGGATTCTGTCAAGAGGAAGGTTACTGGTGACCTTAAAGAGCTGTGCTCAGATTCTTAGACACAGGAACTAAATCCCGGTGCAAGTAGTGTAGGTGACCATGTGCAGCCATCTGAGGTATTTTGCTTTGAATATGGGCAAAAGAATAGCAAAAAGCTGTGGAGAAATCAGGCTCTAGAGGAGTTTGCTTTGTGTGTGTGTGTGTGTAAATGCTATTTCTGCATGATGTCATGCTTTGCATTCCAATGATAATGATCCAGAGATGACAAACTTTAAAATATGAGAACAAGGCATGGTATTTTGGAAATGAGGGAGGGGGGAGAATTTAAATAAGTGGGGAAGAATGTAGTCCAAGATGTGGAACAATTCATTTCTTCTTGGTTACAGCAAGGAGGCATAACTTGCGAGCAGTTCGGCTGATGAGTTTGCTCGTGGGATATGAGGTAGTAATGATGTGTTTGCATTCATGTTACACAGGTGAAAGATGTGGTCATAAGCTGAAAAACATGGCTGAGCATACCATGTCTTGGAAAAAGAGGTGTGAAAGTACTTTGGAAAAGGAATGAGTGATTTTGATTGGGTATGAGCATACCTGTTTGACAGTACTGTGTGGTCAAATTAATGATGTTAAATTAAAAGGTGTGTGTGTGTGTGTGTGTGTGTGTGTGTGTGATTTACCTCTAGCCAGTCAGTACTCGGGTACAGGTGTAAAGCTTCCAAGTACTTAAAACAGAACCATTAGGAGACAAATGAATTGCAGTTCATTGAAAGCGGGTGGCTACGCTGTTTCAGTGTGGGATTCACATTGAGTGAATAAGACATGAGGAGGATTGAATAACTTTCACACGTGATGTGCCAGGAACCTTTACTCTAGCATCTTCTCTTTGAGAAAAAGAAGCCTGTTTTCCCATGTGTTGCCTGCCAGGGACAGGGCTTAGCCTCTTCCAGCTTCATTCTATCAGCTTGTGTATATGTAATCTGTTCTGTGTCAGGTGCTGTGTCAGAGATTGAAGGAGAGGGAAGTTTACATCCAAAATGCCACTTTTTTTCTTGTCCTTCAAGTTCAAGCCTTTATTCCCCAGAAAACCTGACTCTCTGGGCTTCTCCACAGGTGTCTCTTCTCTGCTGTATCCTTGCTTCGCTCCTCATGAGGGAGGAATCACTCAACTGCTAGCACATCCCTCCAGCTCACGCCTCCAACATTGGAACTCCTGTGACTCCCTTGTCAGGGCTCCCAACTGGAAGAAGTGTGAAATAAGACTCCTGTGAGCGTAACTCAAGCCCTGGAGTTGGAAGACATGACCTTCAGTTCCCAATCTGCCTCTGGCTGTTGGACCACATGTATGCATCCGTTTCTCTTTTGTATTGAGTAAAAAGTAGAACTGGAAATCTGAACTCTCCTATTGAGCTAGCATTATTCAAGTATGTGAACCCAGATATCCTGAACCACCTCTGTCTCTCTAATAATTTGTCCTCTACAAACCTCTGCTTTTGGCTAAAAGCTCTATAATTTGTCAAAGGAGTTTTTGGAAGACTGAAGGAATTGATGTGATGTGATCTAGAACACTATTACACTGTACCCAAATTCATTCATTCAATGGAAGCTTCTTCCATTCACTTCTACCAGGAAGATGTATGATACTGAGGTATGTAAGTTCCAATTTTTAAAGAAGGGGATGATGCTATCTCCATTGATAACTATTGATTAGGAGTGTGTGTGTGTGTGTGTGTGTGTGTGTGTGTGTGTTAGGTAAATTAAGCAATAAAGAGAACATAACAATGGAAGAGGTTCACTATCATATATTAACCATTTAAAAACTGGAAGGCCCAGTGCAGTGGCCCAGTGGCTAAGGTCCTTGCCTTGAACGTGTCGGGATCCCATATGGGCACCAGTTCTAATCCCGGCAGTTCCACTTCCCATGCAGCTCCCTGGTTGTGGCCTGGGAAAGCAGTGGAAGACGGCCCAAAGCACTGGGACCCTGCACCCACATGGGAGACTTGGAAGAGCTCCTGGCTCCTGGCTTCGGATTGGCACAGCACCAGCCTTTGCAGTGAATCTGGCCTTAGGGGAGTGCGTCATCAGACAGAAGATCTTCCTCTCTGTCTCTCCTCCTCCTCTCCCTCTGTATATGTGACTTTACAATAAAAATAAATAAGTATTTAAAAAAATCCTGGAGGGAATGTTAGATATTTGGGAACTGGTGTACAAAGTCATCATTTCCAGAGTAGCAGACCCAGGCTTAGCTTGCAAGCAATCATGTAAATGAGATGTTTGAATGTTTACTAACATCAATATTCCGATATAGAATCAATGGAATTCCCAAACTCAGTAGCTCCAAAGAGTTGGAAGACAACAGTCCCAGTTTGCCATTAGTGGTGGATACATGGCTCAGGGAACTTCTACCTATTTTCTGAACAAAAGAGTAGTTCAGATTTCAAGCACAACAAATAAGGCTGTAAATAGCATAAACACACAAGATACAAAGTGCGTGGTGTAAGAGGGGAGATGAGATGATTAATGAGGCCCTGCAGGCGGACATTCTGGTGCAGAAGGAGGGAGGCCTGCTGGGTAGCTGCAATAGGAACAAAAACAGGAGTACCAAGAAAGGGGAGAAGGCAACTGTATGGACCAAGCAGTCTCTGCCATCCTGACCTTGTGGGTGCTTCGGTAGAGAAGGTTTGAATAGGAATTGACCCTTTCTTGCCCACCTCCCACCCTTACCAGACACATACAATTTCAGTCATTAGTAAGTACATAGTGTATTAGACATGTAGGATCATTTGGCTCAACTCGTTTTCTAGATGGAAGCTGGCAGAGACTACGTTCTCTGTCCTCAGTTATAAGGTGAGATGAGCGTTTAGGGCACCGAACATGTTTAAACTGGGCAAAGAAACTGTCCTGATACTTCTTTCTTTGTGCTGAAGAAGTCTCAGCCCCAACCTAGCATGCCTAGGAATTCCAGTGGCCTGCGTCTGTTTTCACCATGATGGCTGCTGCTTTAATTCCCATGCGCAAAATTAGCTCATGACCAGGTGGCTAGTTAACAGATGTGCTTTGCTGACAAACTCAACCTGTCTGTCCACATTGGAGATTCAAACCAGGCCCCTAGGAAGCATGTTCCAATCACAACAGTGTCATGGGTTCAACCCTGCTTGACCTTTTACAGCCGAAGTGACTGCCAAATCCCTCACTCTATGCGTACTGAGACAGAATCCTTTTGTGGGGGATTCTGATCGCAGGATTGAGTTGAAATGGGGTTCAGGGCTTTCTGTTTTCTAACAAGTTTCACTGGAAATGTTGATATGAATGAAGTTAGTAAAAATGAAGACTGATGTTTATTGTTCATTTCCTCACTCCCAGCATCTCCATGAATATTGTCTCATTTAACAATCACCTGGCCTGGGATCCTCGCACCGGTCGTCCTACTGTGTGACCTTGACCAAATGTGCTCATCGCCACAAGCTTCTGTAGTTCCCCTGAAAATGAAAATGGGAAATGTACCCCTTTCACAGAGGTTTCTTCCAGAGTAAGAAAGTTATCTAGGGGAAGATGTGACATATGGAAGCCACTTATTCCTCGTCGAAGGCGCTATTGTTTTGCTTAGCATGGGGACACTGTGATTTCCAGGAGGTTTCTTTCCAGAAAGCCTTGCTGTGTGTAGTTAAGCACTTCACTTATTTCTCATTGGGTCTTGAAGATTCTAGCAGGTATTACTCCTTTCTCCATTTGGGAAAAAAAATGCAAATCAAACTGGAGGTCATAAATAGATGCCTTGAGTTTGTTTTTATTAGGTCCACTATGATTTATCATTGATTCTAACTTTACAAGCCTGTGAATTTCATTTTACTGTTGTATCAAAAATCCAAGGTTTTATTTATTTTTATTAAAAAAAAAATAGCCTATTCTCTACCCTGCTCCTTTTTCCCTACACTCCCTCCCCAGGATCCTTGAAAAAAAAAATACTTACAGATTGGTCAAGGTGCATTAAGAAGGTCCCTTTGGGAAAAGCACTCCCGTTTGTTTGAGTAAGTTTGGAATTTTCATTTTATTCTAAGGTCAATTTGCCCACCCCGGGAATGACATGTCTTTGATGAAATGTTCTGGTATAAGATAGATAGTTGGTGCAGTTTGACAGGAATGAGACATTAAAGATGGAAGGTACAGTACAAAACAGATCATTTCATTCACCCAGCCCTGACAATGGACCCCAGTAATGATCTGTCTCCTCCAGCCACTTCTTTCCTTTCCTTGGAAAAGCCCTTGTGTCAAGGCAGATTTTTCCCTGACCTTCTTTTCTCTGATGTCCAATCTTAGAAGTTCATTTCTGAATTTCATCTTAGTTCTCTCAACACTTTGTTTCACTTCTCTTTTCCCAGACTAATTTAAAGACATTACATATCCCATTTTGTAGTCTTGCATTTATCTTCCATAAATGTTGATGTATTTATCTTTTAATTCCTCCTAAACTTTATAGATCTTTCAAAAGTGGCCCACTTAGCTTTTAGTGTCTCGCTGCTAAAACATTCTCTTTAGCAAAATGTATTTTAGTCATTGCATTTGACAGTAAGAAATGTTTTCTTGGTAGACACGCCAGATCAGTGTAGGTCACATTATATCAAGAAAGTCACTGATTCAGATCTGCTTTCCAGGTCACCTAATTCA